GAGGGATGCTCTGTCAACCTGGACTCTTGGGGTAGGGCCTCAGCCCTTCCCTAAATGAAATGGTAGACTCTAGAGATCCTCCAAGGAGGCCATATTCCTCCCTGGAGATCAGAGTAGGGATTGGGTGGAGGCTGAGTGGCCTGTGGTGAGATTGGGGGAGGGGGGAAGGGAGAGGGTGCTGGTATTGAAATGTGAAGCAAGCTTGTTTCTAATGCAAATAAAAAAGAAAGAAGTCTGCCAAAATATACATTTTCTCTCTACTCCTGAAGTTTTTGATCCATCCATCCAAAACCATCCAGAGCACTATGATTTTTTACAATGGCACTGGATTTATAATTGTTCTTGGAAAGAATGTTTTAAGTCACACAGATATATTTGAGGTATACAGTTGGTCATAAACACTTCAGAGATCTGCAGATGATGGCATTTAAAATGTTTTAATAGCAGGGTTTTCATGACAATGAGACATGTGTAAAGGGAAGCCTTCCCGCCAGCCTGGTTTCAGAGCCGCATCAGTCCCAAATAAACACTCAGGAGGCTATATTAATTATGAAGCTGTTGGCCTTGCTTGTTTATTACTGGCTAGCTCTGACTTAAGTATTTATCCCATAACTGCTAATCTAAGTGTTTATCTTACAGGAGAGGTTTCCGGGCTCCCTACCCATGGCGTTACATGACTCCCTGTGTTTCTCCTACCAAGAGTCCTCCTGGATTCCTAGCCCCACTTATCTTGGTTCCCTATTGGCCAACAGTGCTTTATTGACATATACACGGCACTTCCACCACCATATCCTCTTTTCTGTCTAAACAAAAAGAAAGGTCTTAACTTTAACATACTCAAATTATATATAAAATAACAGTTATCAAGTAAGAACACAGTTACAATATTTTGTCTATCAACATTTAGCAAGATTTAAAGAAAATATCATCTATCCCATTCTTGTGAGTCCAAAGTCCTATATGTAGCTTTTCTTTTATTATAACTAAGGAAAACTATAATTATAACTATCTGCCTTCAACTCTATCAAAGACCACAGAAGGATAATATATAAACACGAGGATTGACAGAAACATCTTGCTGCCTGGACAATCACCTGAAATTTCTCTGTAATATGGGGGCATCCATCTTCAGCCCACAGACCACAGTATGTCCGGAAGTCTTCTCAGCAAAGAAGGAAATTTCAAACTGTCCGTCTGCATCAGCAGTCTGTCAGTCATTATTCTGTGTCCTACAGAAAGTCTCAGAGACTCTTCCATGAATCAGGAACGCTGCAGGACTGTTTGAGTTCAGCAGTCACTTTACTGTAGGTCCTGTATGTCCAGTTTCTACAGCAATAGTCAAGCAGTCTAGGAAAGAGCAGTTTCTTGCCCAAATGGCCAATCTTGCCATGTTGAAAGCAAACTCCATAACGAGTTTCTTCGATGCCCATCTTCCTCTCAAACATAATTGGTGCTGTGAGGAGCAAACATTGCTCACTGTCAAGAAAAACCCTAAACCATTTTAAATGTCATTTCCTGAAGGTTCTTGAAAGGTTTGAAGACTGCCCATCTATCTCAAATATATTTCTGTATATCTAGAAAACCTAACTTACCTAAATATAAGTTCTGACTATTATAAGTAACTATCTATAATCTGTATTTAATTATGCATTATGTTTTAAAAGATCAGTATAAGCACAATACTTAATCAAGAGAAAAAATATACATACCACAAAATTGACTTTGAATTTGTCAATAAATGAAAAACCATACCCATACCATAATTTCCCTTTTTACCATTAAAAAGAGATTGGTTGTGATCATTAACCAATTATAAACAACCCATTTAAATGAAAACAAAGATTTATAAACAAGATGGGAATTAGCACGTCGCTCATTCCAAACTGCTTCATGCTCAAGGGTGTGTGGTTCATACCATGGGGATCATGACAAAACTCAGAAACCTGTATAAGTCCTTAGGTTCAGGGTTTGTAAGGCTCCATCATCTTAGCTGTTTAGATGTTGAATCACTTGGGCCACTGTTTCCGGGGGTCTTGGTTCATCAAACCACAGAAGACTGGAAGGAATCCTCAGCTTTTCATTTTCTGTAGAAACATAAACAAAATCTCCTTTCCCAAGTAACATATATTATACTTAAATTTTTAAGTAAAGGCTTTTTCAAAAGATATCAGTTGAATAAATTCAGCAGCATTTATAATCAAGTGTAATTTAGCAGTTGTTCCTTTCTGAGCAATCAATAACTGAAAAACACATAGCATACAGTATCCAGAATCTCTATGTATTTTCCATCGTTATACGGCTTATTTATTTATCTATTATTATTCTATTTCTTTTACTTTGATTTATTTTTCTCTGAGACAGGGTTTCTCTCTGGATATCCGCCTGACTCTACCTCTGCAGCAAATCCTAACAGCTTGCGCCACCACAGCCGTCTTCTCTATGTATTTACCACTGTGCAGTTTCTTTTTCTCTCTCAATCTTACGTATATTATTAAACACACTGTAAACCTTTAGAGGTTTTTCTTCATCCAAGTCTGACTTTACTGGCCACGTATCTTATCTGTTAAAACCGCAGCTGTTTTAAACTGCAGTTTTTGAAAGATGGAGGGTGTAAGCGTGATTCCAGCTCCCTGTCTCAGTCCATGCTGAGATCCAGCATAACCTGCCGGTGTAGAGATGAGGTCACTGCCAATTCCAGCTGTATGTACACACCTTTAAATTGCTAGTAGAGCCTTTTAAAAGAACCTTGGTTTTTTATGCTGAATCAGGAAGACTCCCTTAAGCAAGCCGCGTGAGTCTTTGCTTGTCGATAGCAAAATAGACCACACCTGAGAAAAATGCTGCTTCCGAGAACCCATGCTATTCTCGGTACTTTTGTTTCTAAAATTCCCTTAAATCTTTTGTCGTTCTACGTGGAAATTCATCATCCCACTCCTGATCACCATTAGCAGATGGTGGAATTTAAAATGTTTTAATACCAGGGTTTTGTCAGGACAATGAGACATGTCTGCTCCTGGCAGGACCAATCTTCTCCAAAGATCATGGTCATTGAAGAAACTCCACATTGAGTTTACTTTCTTTGTGGCAAATGGTAGCCACTGAGCAAGAAATTGCTCTTGTCTTGACTGCTGACAGTATGCAGCCAAATTGGACAAGCAGCACACAAAACAGCCTGACTAACAAAATTTGCCAAGAAAAGGGAGGAAAGCCCATGAGAATATCCTAATTAACAGACGTCTGTCAGATATGCCAGGCCGGTAGTCAGAAGAAAGATGCCCCAACACTACGGAGGAACCTTGCGTGACTGTCCGGGCAGCCAGGTTTGTGTCATTTGTCACATTTTTGGAAGTCCCTTGCTTGCATATTCTGCTTAGTCAGATAATATTATTTCTTTCTTGGGACTCTGATGGAATTGAAGACTTTATTCTTATAGTTTTCCTAGTAGTAGATTCAATAAAGACATTCACTAAGTTAATGGCATAGGGGAGAGCTCAGGTAACCAAGATACGGATCATGCTACACAGGGGTGTGGCCTGTATCTAAATGGGCTCTCCCCTACAATATGTAAAGTGTATGAGGATGAGAGACATACAAAGATACTTTTGATAAATCAAAATGCAATAGAAGGTGAATTACGTACAATCTTTTGGAACCACCAAGATAGGATAGATAACAGAATATTATATCTGAATTTGTCAAGTATTTGCAGACTAGACATTGTTGATGAATATACTTCCTTGATACCTTGTATATAGTTATTGTACTTGTTCTATATAGTATTTGTTATAAGCTTTTCTATTTTAGAACAAAAATATGGAAATGCAAATTTTTCTTTGTGCTCTAAGAAATCAAGGTTGCCTCAAATCAGGGGATGGAGCTAGAGACCTTTTAAGCATAGAAGCCAGGCCTTGGTGACACACACCTTTAACACCAGCACTTGAGAGAAGGAAGCAGGAAGATCAGGAGTTGAAGGCCACTCTGGGCTACATGATATTGAACCACTGTGAAAGAGAATCAGAGCTGGTTGGTGGTGGCTCACTCTCCTTATCCAAGCATGGGACCTCAAGCCTTTGAACCCAGGATTTGGGAGTCACACTCATTTTATCATATCACTAGAAAGGTGGAAAAGGGAGTATAAGGTTGCAGGAGACAGGATCTTGGTCTCTTCACTTGGAGGATCTCTAGTCACGTCTTTCCACCCCTATCTGTCTGAAAGTTTGTTGAGTAAGAATCTGTCTAGTGGCTGGCTCCTTTAAGGCTCTTATCTTTCACCATTGGACTATTACCTGATTCTGGGACTTTAATATTAAAACCAATTAGGATACATGCTAAGGAACACATTTGGACTCTACACACACACACACACAGAGAGAGAGAGAGAGAGAGAGAGAGAGAGAGAGAGAGAGAGAGAGAGAGAGAGACCCATACAAATGTAATGACAAAGGAAATCTTCTCTCCAGAATCCTGAGACTGCTATCCAGACCCATCTATGACAAGGACACAGAGGCCCAGAAGAGCCCTGTGACATAAGTACTGCACACAACTGGCCCATGTTCCCAGCATGGGGCAGAAAGTACAGATTTTTCTGTGCAGAGGATGTGGCATCCTCAGCACACACAGCCTCTCAGTCCCATCACTGCTCCTTGCTCCTGGGGAGGTCAATCGGGGAGATCATGTATGTGCCCTATGGACTCTGGCCCACAGACACTCTGGCTGTGGTGACTGTGGTCTCTTGGCATTCCCTAATACATGCTGCCGGGACACTTTGGCAGTACTGCAATTGAGCAGTGATAGTACAATATCCATGGTTGTCCCCCACATTCTCTTTCCAAACAATGCCCCATCTCAAATACACATAGTCCAGGCTCCCCTGTAGATTGCAAGGCTTTTATTGATGGAATCCAGGCTTTGACACCTGGAGGGTAGGGGTAGGGCTTCCTGTATATATGCAGGTGAGCAGTTAAGTGGTTTCCTTGAGTCTTCGGGCAAAGGTGGATTCATCAACAGTTACTGTTAGCTTCTATTTTCGCCTGGAAAGAGAAAGTCAGTGAGGCATGAGTGAAGGGGACGTCACTGATCATAATGGGAGACCAGTTGGGAGGGAGCTGTACCCGTCTGACATAGACATTGGTTCTGACCAGGTCCAGGGAGCAAACCTTCCATCCTGTTTCCCTCAAATCACATCAGGGTAAACCTTGTAAACAGCCTCCAATCCAGGCTGATGGAAAGAGCCACCTGCCTTCAGGACACCATGGGAACATGAAGGACAGAATCCAGAAGCAGCTGGGCAGGACCTGGTATGGCTCCAGGTGAGCCTCAGGCAGCTATGGTCCCACAAGTGACCTGATTATTGTCACATGAAGACCCTCAGATACATGATGCTAACCTGGTGTCTGATCTTACTACTTCTAGTGAAAAGAGGGGATTCAATTATATGCTCCACCCTGGAATCTACATAGCGGTCTTGGAGATCCAGTGGACAAGAACAAAATTGAGTGTTTTGAGGGTCCAGTGGTAGACTTGACCACTTAGGATAAAAGACCCAGGCTGGGGAAGGGTGACAGGCTCTGTGTTCATGTGGGTGAACCCCGAAGGCTTGGTCAGAAAGGATGATGGAGGCCAAGTGGTATTGTGGGGGCAGGGATCCTGCAGGGTCCAGTCTGGCTCCGCTGAGATGAACAGCCAGTCCTAGCTCAGGCCTCCTGAGTGTCCCTTCTTGACCCATTCTCCTGGCAGCATAACCAGGGAGAGGCCTCTTTCTGGATGCACAGAGGAGTTGCAGTGATGGGGAGGAACACAGGATCCATCACCAATATGGGGTGAGCAGGGCAGCAGACAGACTCCTGGGCAGACCCAAGAGAACTCACCAGCAAACTGTGTACACTCTCCTTGTATTGCTCTGTCAACTTGTTATCAGTACATTTCTTCAGACTTTCAGCATTTTCCAGCGTGTAATTGTCATCCTTGTATTTCTTCACAAAGTTGACATAGGCATCCACAGATGGGCCAAGAAAAAGCTCAAGATCCTCTTTTATAGCCGGGCAAATGCCACAGTCTGGAACACAAAGAATAGGTGATTTTCCCTTGAACCTTAGTATCAGGGCACATGAGTTCTTCCTGGGAAGTGAAGCTGTGAGAGCCCTGGAAACCCCAGAATCCCCAACACCCACATCCAAGTACCCACCTCCCCCTGAGGTCAGGAGCAGGGCAGCCCCAAGCAACACAAGAGCACCAGCGAGCTTCATGGTAATGGTGGCAGGTGCTCCTCCCCAGCACTGGCCCCTTCTATAACTGCCCTGGGCTGCTCAGTGGGCAGGGAGAGTCTGTGTCTGAGCCCTTCCCGGCTCCTCCCAGAATATTGAGTGATACATCTGGGGTGGTGTCAGGGTAGATGTGTATTTTGGCAAGAGGAGAAGATCCTGGTCAACAAAGTCCCTGGCTCAGCCTGGTCCCCTTCTTAGTGCTCTGCTTAAGGTCACATGTCATATCATCAAGGAGATGATGACTTGCCAGCCAGGCAAAAGTTCCCTCAGCCAGACCTCCAGAGTGAGGCCATGGTCACCCTGATTGGCAGGGAACTCAATGTTTACTGAAAAGTCTCCCTCATAGTCAATGTCTAGGATAGACCACATCATATTCACTGGGGTCCCCTGCTCTGACTGTTTCTATCCCTGCCCCCATCTCTCACTTGCTTCATGGCTTCCTTGAACCGCATTGTAGCCCTGAAGTCTTCCTGCTGTTGTAGTCACCCTTCAACTTCACCTTTTCCTTGTTGCTGTTGTTTTCTTTTGAGATATCCCATCTAGACATTGCCCTGCCTCTGCTGCTGCATCTCTGTGTAGACCAGGCTGACCTTCAACTACAGAGGTCCATGTGACTCTGCCTCCTGAGTGCTGGGATTAAATGTGTTCTCAGTCCAGCTTAACTTGACCTCCTTTTGATATTTCTGAGTTTTTTAAAGACAGGATCTTGCCCAGGTTAGTTTATAAACATCGTAAGAAGGGAGTGGTGTGTGTGTGTGTGTGTGTACAATATATGTGGGCTTGTTGTGTAGTGTTACGTGTTTGTAGTATGTAATTAGTATGTGGATGTGTCCTTTGTGTGTATGGTGTGTTTGTTTCTGTGATGTGTACGTGTGGTGTGTATGTGGGGTGCCTGTGGGTTTTTTTGGTTGTGGTGTGTGGGTAGTATGTTATAGTGTGTGTGTTTGTAGTGAATGTGTGTTCTCTGTGATATATATATATGTCTGTGTGTGTAACCCATGATTTTTGTGTTTATATAGCATATGTGTATGCTTGTGTTGTGTGTGGACTGTGTGTGGAGTATGTGTGTGGCATGTGGTGGTATGTGTACATATGTGTGTAGTGTGTGTAATATGTATTTGTTTGTATTGTGTGTGTGTGTGTGTGTGGTGCATGCTTAGTATTTGGATGTGTAGCATACTTTTGTGTATGATGTGTTTGTTTGTACAGTATTATTGTGCTGTGTCATGTGTGTGTGTGTGTGTGTGTAGTACTTGTGTTGTTTGGGTGGTGTGTTTGTGGTCCCTGTGCATGCTATGTGTGGTATTTTCATGTATGTATCTGCATGTTTTTGTGCTCAGTGAGTGATATGTATGTGTATGTAGCATATGTATGTAACTGTGGCATATGTGAGTTGTGGTGTGTGTGTGTCATGTTGTTTATACATGTGTGCTGTATGTGTAACATGTGTTTGTGTGGTATGTGTATGAGTGGTATGTGTGTAGCATATAGTATGTGACATGTACGTTTTTGTGGGTATGTTGTGTGTGTGTCTGCATGTGTATGGTGTGAGCATTGTTAGAATACATTAACAGATGCCTGATGTGGTGTCAAATGCTTTCAATCTGAACACTCCGAAGACAGGTGCAGGAGGATCACTATGAGCTTGGGGTCATCCTGGTCCACACATGGACTTGCAGGTCAGTTAGAATCACACAGTGAGACCCTGATGATATCCCAGAGTGTGTTCTTTAAGGTCATACTGCAAGTGCCTCAGACTCATTTCCTCTTAACTAAGCAAACATATGTCAGTGCAGAGCATCAGACAACTAATTGGCCTCTGTCTGACTCTGTCTTGCTGCTCCAGTTGCCTTGTCCCTCAGAAAGCCAGCATGACTGGCTTGGGGACACCACTGGCCATTTTGAAGACTTCACAGGTACCTCACCAAAACAACAGGACAATCTGAGCTGCCTTCAAAACGCACAGCCTCATTAAGGCTGTTTCAGAGTGTCTAGCAGAGTTTTGCTATCACACAATTCTACTTGACCCTTCAACCATTTCTACCCTGGTCAGAGGGGAAGCAGTCCCCCCCTCCCCCGTCTCTCCGTGGCCTAGCAGAGGGGGTGCTGGGAGGCGGCTGTGTAGGCTGCAGTGCCCCTGCTATGGAGGAGGGCTGTCAGGTCATTCACTGGTCTGGAAAAGACTCCCACTCTCTCTCCTGGGACTGACATGTTAAGCCTCATGAAAGGTTCTGTTGAGGCATCTTTTTATGGCCGTAATTTAAGGACAGTGATGGAGAAGGAGGCAGCAGACAGTGCAGCAAAGTCTGAGGCAGGGGAGTGACAGCTGAGTGGTCAGCAAGCAAGTGACTGGATGTGTGGTAGCTGAAGCATCTGACAGGGGACGGGACAGGAAAAGGAAGAGTCACAGAAAGAGAGCAGAGTAGTGCCTGAGGAAGGACAGAAGGGTTCACTCCAGAGGATGGAAACATCAGGCCCTGCTTCCCAGAATATGTCCGGGGATCTGTGGTGTCTTTAGACACAAGAGCCTCACCAGGGCCAAGAGCCACAGCACTGTTAAGTGCAAGGAGGTCCTCCTTCCTAACCACAGGGTTCTAGGTCTATGCTAGTGTGAGGCCTGCTCACCTAGGGCACCACCTGCTGCTGCTCCCACCAGCTGTGCTTCTGTCCACTGCCGTGACACATGGAGGGCAATGGAGCAGCCCAAGCCAGCAGCTGGAGACTTCCCCTCCCCCACACACAGTTTCTATCTTCTGAGCAAAGAGATCCCAGACAGCTATCCTGGGACTCACCTACCTCAGGCCCCCACAGTGGACTCCGCAGCTCTCCTGACCACTCTGTGTCCCCTGAAACTAGAACTTATCATCTACCTGGTCTGTCTGTCACTGGAGCATCTCTGTATGGGGTAGGACACCATTTCCCGTAAGCATGACCACTTTGAGAACCAGGGTCTCCCAATGCTATGCTCTGACTGGCTGGTGTGCTCCCAGTCACCCGGCTGTGAGATCTGATGCTCAGATTCTTCCAGAACCATATCAGAGGGACAGACATCTGTGGTTTCAACTCGGCTAGGACACCTTGGGCCTTGGTCCCCAGTGCGGCAGTTCTGTCAGGCAGTTGTGGTGGTGGCTGTAACCAGGTGGATCCCCTGCTCTAGGACTGACTTTCACCACCTCCCCACAATGCACCATGAGTTCACACAGTGCAAGCAGTGCCTAGATGTGGCTGCTCTATCTGGGACTGTCAAGACTCCTGCCATGAACCAAGTTAACTTCTCTCCCAAATACAGCACCGAGTCTGGGGAGTTTGGTCACAGCAATGGAACACAGATTGCAACACCACAGTGCACGGGTCCCTGTGCATGAGAACATGCCTGGCCTCCACCACAGCACTGGGCTATGAACCCAGTCCCTGCATCCCCAGCAACTCTTACTGTGGATGATTTTGTGTCCCTTAGATATCCAATGACTCAGGAGAACAAGGCATGTGGCACGCTATCCCTGGGACACCACATAGGAGGTCTCCACAGTGGCCATTAGACATATTGGAGGGCTAGCTTGCATCTCTCAAGTCTCTAAACAAGACCTTTGTGAAACATGAAACAACAGTATCTTCCCGGATGACCCAGGCTGGCCTCAAACTTTCAACGCCACTATCCACACCTCCCTGTTCACCTTATATAAGTGCTTTTGTTAGTTGGCTGATAATAATTTTTCAAAGTAAAGACTATAAGTGTTTGGTACGTCAGAACTAATTAGTTTGTTGTTAAAGGCATTGAATGTCGCTTTCTATCCATCAGATTAAGTTATTGCCAAAACTTAGAGAGAACTTAATCTTTTGACTTACTGCATGCCTGAGCCAAACAGGATATGAATCCTGTAACTGTTTAGGGCAAGAGGTGCCAAGTACTAATATCTACTCATGAGCTGTCCACTATGTCCTCCAGGCCTTGTTTTGATGACCTTGTAAGTTCTCAGGGCTGCTCCGGCCCAGGTAGACATTTGCAGTCCTTGGAAGTACTAGGAATGGAGACATGGGCATACTGTGGCTAAGAAGTGTCTACTGGTGGGTGACACCTGCAGCAATCTGCTAGTTCATCAGAACTGACATTCGACTGTTTGGAGATCTCACAGAGGTTTAGTGCCTAATCCTGCATGACAGAGGACAGATGACACCTGCACCTTTCCCCACTGACTGGAAATTCTCACTTGAACCATTAACATTCTGTGACCAGATATTTCTATTCTTTCCGATTCCCTCATATTTTCCTGTGTGTGTGTGTGTGTGTGTGTGTGTGTGTTCCCCTGTGCATGTGCCCATTCGATATTGTATGTGTGTTTGTGTTTGCAATTGCCCATATGTTGGTTATACAGTGCCTACTTACTACCTTTATGTCAACTTGACAAAGGCTAAAGTCATAAGAAAGAGGTAACCTCAACGAAGAGAAACATGGTTTGTATGAGTAGAGGTGGCACACTCCTTTAATCGCAACACTCTGGAATCCCTGGTTGGTGTATATCCGATTTTGAGGCTAGCCAGATCTACAGAGAGTTCCAAAAGATTTAGGGTTACACTACAAATCCTGTCTGGAAAATCCAAAAGAAACACATTTAATAAAGAGAAAACAAAATAAGAAAATGCCTCCACAACTTAGGACTGTAGGCAAGTCTGTTAGGCATATTCTGTCTCTCTCTGGCTTCTCTGAAGACAGAGTTTCCTGTGAAGCACTGACTGTCTTGGAAGTCACTCTGTAGACCCAGCTAACCAAACACTCAGAGATCCACCTGTCTGTACCTCTCAAGTGCTGGGATTAAAGGAATCCAGCAACAATCATTAGCCAGGCATTTTTACTAGTGATCAATGTGGGATGGCTAAGCCCGTTGCAGTTGATGCCATCTCCTGGCTGGTGGTCCTGGGTTGTATATGGTACCAGGTTGAACAAGCCCTGGGAAAGAAACCAGTAGCAGAATCCTCCATGGCCTCTGCATCTGCTCCTGCCTCCAGGCTCCTGCTCTGCCTGAGTTCCTGTCCT